TATACATTTACATATATAAGAGCCTGATAACGGATAAGAGCCTGGGGCCTAAGGGCTAAGAAGTTTGCCTAGTATGTAATATAGGTTCAAATCCTAGTAAGGGTATGGCTAGCTGATGAGAGCTAAATAGCTTGAAATAGATCTATACTAGTCTCCCTTTATTTATTTATCAGCACAAATAAAAAAACATATATATAATAATTATTGTAATGAGCCTATAACTTTTCTTTTGCTTTGTTTAGGTATATATGGAGTAAGTTCACACATCTTATTAAATCTTTGACTTATTGCACTAGTTATCTTTATATATATATGCATACTTACATACACACACACACATATACATACACAAAGAGGGGGGGACTTTTTGACCCCAAAATAAGCACTTGGCTTTATTTTCAGGGAGGTCTTATTATTTTTTAGGTGCAGTGAGAGTGGTCACCTCCTGGCTGCTGCTGTGTTGCAATATTTTTGGGAATGGCTTATTTTCGGGGAAGAGCTAATTGTAGCGCAAGCCCCAACCCCCCCCCCCAATTGGGCTTATTATCCGGGGAGGTCTTATTTTTGGGGAAACAGGGTGTGTGTGTGTGTGTGTGTGTGTGTGTGTGTGTGTGTAATTTCATAATTCTTAAAATAACTATGTGTTCAAAATATTGCCCAGCCAAGATTTGCCTTCTCTCATCATAAGATACAAAGTGAGGACAGTAAATGAATTTAAAGATTACTTTGAGCCTGATTATGTACCAAGCAAGAGAAAATAATGCTCAATAGAAATATTAATATGTTTTCTGTCAAATAATTTTAGAGTCATAAACTCTAATGAAAGAAAGTGTTTCACTTTTCATTCTACTCTTCCTCTTTCTTTTAAAGTGAGATGGCTTAAAGGTGAATTTTCAAAATCCTTGATTATCTCAGGAAATTCAGAAGGAAGTCCCATCACAAAGCAATTAAATCAAATTCCTGGGAACCATTGCTTATGTATGCGTCCTGCATTCATTCTTCTTTCTCATTCCCTGTAGCTGATTTATACATTTGCTCAGCTCTTTCTATTAGGGTTCTCAATGGCTGTTCTCTGTTTTTCTATTCTTACATCAAGCTGTAATTGATTTCTGAAATACCCAAAGTAGTGGAAGCCTTGAATCTGCAAAACTCAAGATTACCTTGAGCTGCTCCTTAAGCAGTTTCTAAGAAAGAGCAGCTTTTTATATTTTGTTGTTCTTAGCTCTTAGTTTTCCCTGCAAGATACCAAAGCGGATCTACACACACACACACACACACACACACACACACACACACACACACACATCCTCACAGCAAAGTTTCTCTCTTGACTGCATTACTTACACATCCTGGAACTCCTCCAGAGATTTCTGTGGTGTAAAGACATTTAATAAACTGATAATCTGAAACGCAACAAGAGACAAAAAGGAGAGAAAAGAATAATTAAATATTAATGGTCGATCAGGTTAACATGGACTGCCTCACTGTTTCGAGTGTACACTATTCTATGCAGTAAAAAGGAAGGTAAAAAATTCAACCATGTTTTCTTCCCAGCTAAGAGTTCTGTGACTACATTTGCAGCCTCAGCGGAAGGCCAGGTAGAATTTGCAAAACCATGAAACTGTCAGTGTAGATATATTCATGAACTGGAACAGAGACATGGTAACAAGGTCAGCCAATGAATAGACATGGCAGCTGGGTCAGCCAATGAGGGCTGTTTGGAAACTCAAACAGTATTTGCTGTGTGAGCAACAAGGAGACAGCAAGGAGCCTAGGCGTGGCTTAGCTTATTTTCTAAACTAGTCTGCTGCTCAAAAATGAAACTAAAACTGTTCTCTCCCTGGCTTCTGTTTGTATCTACTTACAAGCTCTCCTCTCTACTACATTGGAAAACCTGCTTTTGGTATTGTATATTTTAGAGATGGCTAACCTTTTTGTTGTGAGCGTGTGCACAGCGCATGTTTGCATGCCGGCACCCATAATGCAAAGCATCACCCCACATGGGCATGCACGCACAATCCCCCCCACACATGTGCCACACTGCTCGCCTTCAAGCTGAGGTTGATATTTCCTCCAGAGGTTTGGGGGAGGCCATTTTCACCCTCCCCAGGCTCCAGGAAAGCTTCCAGAGTCTGGGGAGAACGAAAAATGGGCCCAACATGCCTTCTGGAAGTTCGGAAACGATCCGTTTCTGGCTTCCGGAGGGCCTCCGCAGGAGGGTGGGGGAGGCCGTTTTTGCCCTCTCCAGGCTCCAGAAACTTTCCAGAAGCCTGGGGAGGGTGAAAATGGCCTCCTCCGGAAATCAGTTGGACGGTGTGTGCATGCGCGCTAGAGCTGATGGCTCGGGTGCCGGCAGATATGGCACGCGTGCCATAGGTTCGCCATCACGGGTATATTTACTTCATGTGTTATATTATATATAAAGAGAAGATAATTATTCCCGCTGAATCAGTCAGTTGTGTGTGCTTTCTGGATGTGATTCCTGCAACAATCTGACAGAAACATCTCGGAAATTTTAAACATGGATCAGAAGCTTAGAGGGAACCTTGTGAAGATTGGCAGCCTGCCTATTAAAACGAAAGGGTCATTGCTAAAATATTGACTTCTACTGTGGTTACTAATTTAGCTGCCACTGAAGTATAACTATAGATAAGATTCTGCTGCTATTGCCACTTTTGAATTCCTATATTTAGCTAGATTGAAGGGTGTATCTACTAAGACTGAAGGATATACACCCAACAAATGTAAATTTAAAGCCTAAATCTGCTGAGGTATGTCTTTCAATTTTGCTACCCAAATTCTTTGTCAGATGGGTCTTGAAAGTTAAAATTAGCAGCTGATATTAAAGACAAAGGCTAGATGGTCTGGATATGTGACAATTTGTTTCTTCCATTGTTAAGATAAATCTGGGATGAGATTGATACAGTGCTAATAGTAAGCTGTACAACTATAGAGTAAAATTGAGGTTCAGGTACTTAAATGACACCGCAAACTCAGACTAGGGACTCTGACAGCAGTTCAGAAAATAAAACCCACATAATTATGTTTATTTTACTTTTGTTCTTCTTCCTTAAGGCTGCTAATTTTGATATCCTGATTATATATGTTCCTCCTTTTGTCCCGGTACTTAATTTTTATTTGAACTGGACAGATGTTTATTTGTGATTTTTATCAACTAATTGTTTACAGGGTTCCTGATTTAGGCTTTGGGACTAAGAGTTTATAAGCATTTTCTAAATTGGGACACATTTAGCAAGAGCAATAGCAGTTAGACTTATATACCGCTTCATAGGGCTTTCAGCCCTCTCTAAGCGGTTTACAGAGTCAGCATATCGCCCCCACAGTCTG